AGAGGGAACACAAGCAGGGGGAGTGGGAGAGGGAGAAGCAGGCTTCCCGCTGAGCAGGGAGCCTGATGCGGGGCTCAATCCCAGGACCTGGGATCATGACCTGAGCCGAAGGCAGACGCTTAACGACTGAGCCACCCATGTGCCCCTCTAGGCCTAAATCTTAACACTGCCCCCAACTAAAAAATTCTTGAGTTTTACTGGCTTCTCACTTCTATTTCAGGAATGTCTCACTGATTCTTTGTCTCTCCCAACACTGCTGAATATTCTGATGTTTCTACCAAACCTCGTAAAGGGCTCTAAAAGAAGTCAGTCTATCCCATGCCTCCTCATCACAGATAGGTTAGCGTCCATTCAAAGGGAGTGACCCTCCTCAGCCAGCACCATCTGGCCTGAGTGTGGAAGATGCTTCGAGGCCAAGACTGGCGATCTGCTGGGCCAGGACTAACACTGGCAGCCAAGAGCGCTGGGGACAGGCGCTCCTGTGTGGGTCCTGCCCACCTGCCTGCCTGCCTGCAACAGGGAAGGATGCAATGGACTGACTTTCTTCCGGAGCCTTCTACTCAGCTCTCCCCCTTTAGGGTGGGCAGCATCCCTCTGCAGTCTAGCGCTTGCAGGCTGAATGGCTTTCTCGGGCTGTTTTCCAGACTTAGGTAACTGCAACTGGTAGCACACTTTAATTAGACGCACGTTCCCGACATAACACAACAAGGAGGAAAGAAAGTGAGAGGAAAAGCACCACACGATCCCCTGAGGACCACCGGGCCACACCGGATTTCAAATACAACCGTTCAAAAATGGGGCACCTTGTGAAACAAGGGGATGAATCAAGTGAAGGGCGCAGCTGGCTCCAGCCAGCACAGGCTGTACGATCAGAGGACCTACCAAAGTCTGTCTGAAACTGGCACACAGAAGTGCACACTAACGAAATCCAGCACATTAAAAATCCTCTCCCCGAAAAAGAGACCTTTCATTGAAACCCGTTTTCCATTTTAATGGCAGCTTAGCTATTATAGTCTGCTGAAAATGAGTTTCTTTCCCACTACTCTAGCCTATAATTAAAGCCACATTCTTACAACTACACGAACGAAGGAGCCTCTTGAACTATGTCCGAAATCCAACTGCCAAACGTAACGTCACTGAAATCGCTCAGCGACAATTAGCGCAGAAGCGCGCCCGTGGACGGGCTGGACCGCGAGCACAGCTCTTGTTTTCACTTGGTACCATGAAGCCGAAGTCAACTAGGCAGCGAATGTTCCTGCGGCGAGCTGCCTCCCCATTGTCTCGAGGACACCGGCCCTGGAAAACTTTCCGGCCCCGGAGCGGGGCCAGCTCCTCTGCAGCCCCTGCTCACCGACCCGCGGGCATGGCATGTGCAAAGCCGGGGTTTGGGGGCTCACTGACCGGAAGGGGCGGAAAGGCGTGGCCCTTCCTCCCCCGCCGCGCGGGCCGGCCGGAGGACCACCTAACCCCATTGTCCAGGGGCTCGTCTCCCACCCCATCCGCGGAGACCGACGCCCGCGGCCCAGTGCCGGGCCCGACCGCGCGCCGTGCACCGGGGAGCCCCGGCCCGCCGGCCACGCTCTCCCCCAACAGTGTGCGCCCCCCGACCTCTCCACGCCTGACCTCCAATCAGACCTCCCTCCGTGGGACCGCCCCGCGCCCCACGCCGGCGGACCGAAGGGCGGCCCCGAGGGACCCTCCCAGGGCACCC